AGTCAAGGTGGGAGGACTGCTTGAGCCCAGGAGTTTGAGTGTAGCTTGGGCAACAAAGTGAGACCTCATCTCTGCAAAAAAAATTTAAAAATAAGCCAGATATGGTGTTGTGCACCTGCAGTCCCTGCTATACAGGAGGCTGAGGCAGGAGGATTGTGTAAGCCCAGGAGGGGCTGCAATGATTGTACCACTGCAACTCCAGCCTGCCAGAGACTCCATCTCAGAAAACAAACAGTGGAAATGCTTACACTGAAAAGCTACTTTTAAAAGTTACACAGTATAAAGAAGAAAAAAAAAATGTTACACAGTATAAATCAACTATCATTCAGATCTGACGTCCCTTCCCCAATCTATACTTCTCATCTTTAGGCTAACCGTTAAGCAATTCTACAGTGAAGACAAATAATCTTAGAAAAAGGGTAGGTGATATGCATGAGTGGAAGATTTTCAACTAATGGTATCAGGAAAACGCTACAACTCTAGCAGGGAATGAGATCTAGAACGTTCAGAAAGCAAAAAGATTGCTATAGAATTATTCCAATTACTTTAATGCCATATAAGATGCTGTTATAGAAACTGACAGTGCTCCAGTTCCAGCGATGTGAAGAAAAAAATTTTTTTTCACCCCAAAATAATCTGTCATATTTTGAGATGGCTGTTCATAGGGCCAACAGAAGTAGCCTTGCAAAGCCGTCTTTTGTGGGGGAAATCTGCATTTGCAGAGAATCTGCTTGATGCAGCCAGGCCTTTCCTTGTCTGGATCTGGGTGAAACCTGCCAGGCGCAGTGGCTCATGCCTGTAATCCCAGTACTTTGGGAGGCCGAGTTCGGCGGATCACCTGATTGACCAGCCTGGGCAACATGGTGAAACCCTGTCCCTACTAAAAATAAAAAATCAGCCAGGCATGGTGGCTGGCGCCTGTGATCCCACCTACTTGGGAGGCTGAGGCAGGAGAACTGCTTGAGCCAAGACCATGGAATTGTAATCCAGACTGGGCAAAAAGAGTGGAACTGTCTGGGGGGGGGGGGGGGAGCTCTGAAACATTTACCATCTATTCTTTTGAGGGCTGCCACCTGTGGGGCTTCATTTACATAACAAGACCACTTTTGCTAGTCAGGCTTCCTCTTCTCTTGCTCCCAGAACCTGTTTTGCCTTGATCCGAGCCCATACCTTTCTGTAACCTTAAGGTGGTATTTAAGCTTCTAAAGCCTATTGGGTTGGGAGCTTGGGGGGTAATCACTCTGTGGGTCTCCCCTACACGCAAGTTAATAATTGTATGCCTTTTCTCCATTGATTTTTCAACGAACCTTCAGAGGGCAAAAGATAATTTTCCCCTTGGCCTCTATAGGAACCTAAGACCCACAGAATGATGGAAAAAGGAAAGGCTTTGGAGCCAAGCAGACCCAAGTTTGAATCCCAGCTGTACTGCTTATTTGCTGTACAACCTTGGGCAAGTCACACAGTTATCCGACTTACAGACAGGGTAACATTAACTTCACAAAGTTGTTTCAAGGATTAATGTAGAAAATCAACTTATCAGGCATTGAAAAAATGGTGGCTATCAGTATCAATGATCACTTCCCAACCCAGTTATGGACCCAATTTTAAGACTGTTGCTAAATCCCAAGGAATGAGTTCTGCAGGAGCAAGCAGTCTTGGCCTCAAGTCCATATACTTGTACCTCATGATCTCTATTTTGTTTTGCCATTTGAACACATTTTCAAATGTGTTCTAGTGATTCACCTACAAATAAGTCTTCTTTAGGTGGATCTCAGCCTGCATATACTGTGTATTCTGTAACTCATGAAAACTGTATCCTTTTTCTTCACACTGATTTTGGTCTTATCTTCCCAGTTTTAAAGTACTAACTTTATACACAGCACTGCCCTCTAGCGACTAGAATTAATTCTTTCTAGTTGTCTGTTAGGCAGCTCTCTTGGTAAAAATTAAAATTAAAAATTGTCATAGATTGTCTTGAATGTGTTGGCTGACACTAGAGAAATGGAAATCATAACTACAATGAGATACCACCTCACACCCAATAGTAATTTGAAGAACAATTTGACAATTCTTTAAAGTTACATGACGCAGCAATTCCACTCCTACAGAGAATTGAAAACGTGCACACATAGGAATCTTGCTCTTTCGCCAGGCTGGAGTGCAGTGGCACAATCTTGGCCCACCGCAACCTCCCGTCTCCCAGATTCAAGGGATTCCCCTGCCTCAGCCTCCTGAGTAACTGGGACTACAGGCGTGTGCCACCACACCCAGCTAATTTTTTGCAATTTAGTAGAGACGGGGTTTCACCATGGCCAGGATGGTCTAGATCTCCTGACCTCATGATACGCCCGCTGTAGCCTCCCAAAGTGCTGGGATTACAGGCGTGAGTCACCACGCCTGGCCCAAAAACCTCTTCTATAATGTTCATAGCATTATTCTTAACCAAAAAGCAGAAATAATACGAACATCAATTGATGGAAGGGCAAATACAATGGAATATTATTCAGCCATAAAACAGAATGATGTACTCATACATGTTTACAGGAAACCTGAAAACATACTATATCAAAGAAGCCAGTTCCAAAGGACCACATATTATATGAACTTATATGAAATGTCCAGAACAGGGAAATCCATACACAGAAAGGAGCCTGGTGATTCCCTAGGACTGGAGGAGAGAAATGCATTGACTGCTAATGGGGGTTTCTTTCAGGGGTGAAAAGAATTGCTTTGGTGATGGCTGTACAACTTTGTGGATATACTGAAAACTGATCTGTACACTTTAAAAATGTGAATTTTATGGTATATGAATTACGTCTCCATGTTATTTTAAAATGGAAAACAAAAGCATTGGCTGTGTTGGGATGGCCATTTAGTACTAACATATTAGGCATGTTTTGCCTTCAAAAACCCACCCCCAAAGTCTTAAGAATTTGGCATCCATGGTCTTAATAGCTGTTTTTTTTTTTGTTTGTTTGGCTTTTTTTAAAATAAAGACAGGGTTTCACCATGTTGGTCAGGCTGATCTTGAACCCCTGACCTTAGGTGATCTGCCCACCTTGGCCTCCAAAGTGCTTGGATTACAGTTGTGAGCCACCACACCCAGCCAGTTGTTTTTTTTTTTTTTTTTTTTTTTTTTTAAAGAAGCATGTATTATTTATATAATGAGAGGTAGATCGATATTTTCTTTTCTTTTTTTTTTTTTTTTGAGACAGAGTTTCGCTCTTGTTAACCAGGCTGGAGTGCAATGGCGCGATCTTGGTTCACCGCAACCTCCGCCTCCTGGGTAGCTGGGATTACAGGCACGTGCCACCATGCCCAACTAATTTTTTTATGTTTTTAGTACAGATGGGGTTTCACCATGTTGACCAGGATGGTCTCGATCTCCTGACCTCGTGATCCACCCGCCTCGGCCTCCCAAAGTGCTGGGATTACAGGCTTGAGCCACCACGCCCGGCCCAGATCAATTATTTTCAAGGAATAATCTTAACTTTTAAAATAGAAACTGCACTTAAGAACACTAGTAGAGGTTGGCTGACACCCTGAAAGACGGTTTTAACTGTGGGCCAGTCAGCTTCAAATGCAGGAAAACCTCTCACCTCCATTGCAGGGGAAATGGGCAACAGTAATAGTAGCTGCTGCTGACAGGCTGGGCCCTGTGCTTAACTTCATCTGTTATCTCCCCCAACTATCCCACGTGGCAGGTGTTACCAGTGTTTCATAGATCAGGCAGTTTATATAACTGAGACCAAGAGCATACATACACCCCTCCCCTGAAATGCAAGTCTCACAGAAGGCAGAGCAAGATGCCGCCTTGGTATAAATAACAAATACAATAAACTCTGACTCAGTAACTACTGAAGAGCAGGGTCTAGTCTAAGAATACTCACTGATAAAAGGTAGGTGTTCAAAGTATGACCCAACTTCTATTTTTGTCTTTAGTAACCGATACACAGTTGAAATTCAGTGAGAAGCTGCTTCTACACAAATATAAGAAGGGTTTTGTTAACCAAATGCAAATCTATCTAGGTCTGAATTCCTAAAAGTAGAATTTTTTTTTTTTTTGAGATGGAGTTTTGCTCTGTCACCCAGGCTGAAGTGCAGTGGTATGATTTCAGCTCACTGCAACCTCTCAAATTCAAACGATTTTCCTGCCTCAGCCTCCCAAGTAGCTGGGATTACAGGTGTCCGCCACTACGTCCAGCTAATTTTTGTATTTTTAGTGGAAATGGGGTTTCACATGTTGACCAGGCTGGTCTTGAGTTTCTGACCTCAAGTGATTCACCTGCCACGGCCTCCCAAAGTGCTGGGATTATAAGCATGTGCCACCACGCCTGACTTAAAAGTAGAGTCTTTAGATAAATAACCTTCCCAATACTTTTTTTTTTGAGACGGGGTCTTGCTGTCACCCAGGCTGCAGTGCAGAGGTGCGATCTCAGCTTCTCATTGTAACCTCCAGCTCTTGGGCCCAAGCAATTCTCCCACCTCAGCCTCCCGAGGAGCTGGGACTACAGGCCCAAGCCACCAAGCACTGTTAATTTTTACATTTTCTTTTTGTAGAGATGAGGTCTCACCATGTTGGCCAGGCTGGTCTTGGACTGCTGACCTCAAGTGATCCGTCTGCCTCAGCCTCCCAAAGTGCTAGGATTACAGTTAGGAGTCACCGTGCCTAGCCTATTTCTTGAATTTCAAAAAAAAAAAAAAAAAAAAAAAAAAAAACCAAAAACCAAAACAAAACACAGAAAAAACAGGCAGAGAATTCCTGCATACATGCTTGCATAAGGCCAAACTAGAAAGTGGGGTGGGCATTTGAACAGCCCCCTATCTGCTCCCTTCCCCTAACTAGGATGGGCTTCTGGGCCTATTAACCATTCTTTGGTGAAGAGCAGCAATCCATTTCCCCAAAGGCTCTTTAATAACAGCATTGGTGTTTGAGGTTGAATCTTTAAACACGTATTTCAGGATTTAGGAGCTTCTGGAACCATAACTTTAACCCAGCCTTCCATAACAGTCTTTTTACTTTCTACTACTGAACATGACACTGCAATAATAGCAATGAACCGTTTTAGCTTTTTCACTTCTGCAGAAGCTAAAACAACTTCTCCAATATATAAAGGGGCTGGAAAGCTAATTTCCTGGGAAAGAAATACACAGCCTGGCCCTGGCATTTTAGTTCCCAGGAGAGCTGAGATAAGTCCATTGATCAAAACTCCATGTACAATTGTATTTCCAAACTTGGTGTGTTTTGCAAAGTCTTCATTTAGATGCAAAGGATTGACATCCCCTGTTAACTCTGAGAAGGTAGCCACATCCGTCTGTGTGAAGGCCCTCCTAAGTTCAGCACGGTCTCCAACTCTGATGTGCATATGCTGTAAGTGCTGCACGGTCAGCACTGGGAGGTTCAGGCAGACTCTCCTCCGAAGCCCACTCCACCAAAGGTGATGGCTGGAAATTAGTGGGAACATCTTCAGCACCCTCAAATTTCATCAAGAGCTTTTAGCCTGCTTCAGTCTTCAAACATGCAGGCACCAAAAAAATAAATCTGAGAGTGGAGGAATGTTTCCAAAATAGAAGACTATTCCTTCAATCCAATACTAGTTCCCTACTATTACCAGATAATGCCAGGAGAAATGGAGAAACCTACAAGAGAAAGAAAAAGGTTAAGGCATCGGGAGAAACTGCACTGAAGCACAGGGCAATGTGGAAACATGTCCAGTTTTACTGGATAAACAAAAGTGAGTACAGGAGCATTTTAAAGAGCATTCCAAGAGGAAGCCTTCGATAACAAGTAGTCATAGCTCAAAAGGAGCATACCAATATATAACACTCAAAGCATTAAGTGTTAAATGAAAAATAAGACTTAACCACAGAGTAGCAACTTCTATCCCAGAACAATCTCCCACAGACTTTAAAATCTTAAGTGTTGTGTCTCACATTTTTGAAAACAAGTCCTTTATTTTCCCCTACTTAGATCATGTTAACCATATTACATTTATGCAAGCACGAAAATGAGCTATGTATATTAAGAAGCGATTGAGCCATTATCAGTCTTGTTTGGAACATGTGAGAGACAGTCTTTACCTGAATCACCCGGAAAGCACATTTTTTGCCTTTATAGGATCCTAACAAGGTCAAAGAGCTCCACAATTTGACAAGACCACTGCAGAAAGATCAAAAAAATACATAGTATATCATAGGCAGAAAACAGTATGAATCTCAACTAAGGTTTCTGAAATATTCACTTCTGACTTTGCAACTATAACCATCAATGGGAAAGTATAGCTGTAACCAAAGCATAAGTTCTGCTCTTTCTAGAGTACAAGTTTCTGGTGGATGAATGTTCATATTCACCCCAGTTTAAATTCCCAAAAGCTGCTCAGAGTTCACAATGACAATATTCTTCTCATTGTCAGAAGAAAGAATTTTTGCTCTAATTCTCCATCGGTCTCTCTGCCTTGTTATACTAGAAATGCCCCACTCTCTGTCATACCTGCTACATATTCTCAAGATGGCTGACAAGGTCTTCTCTTCATAGCGTAGGATGTCCAAAGGCAAGGCGGCATCAACCTGCATATGGAATAGTACTATGAGCAGGCTGTTATCACCATTATTCTTGAATGCTTGTCAAGTTTTGACAAACACTGAGTTTTGAGCTTTTATTCTCCACAAGAGCTGTATTTTATTTAACGGTGCTGGTGCTTTGAGTTGCCTATTTGATTACAGCTCCCCCTGTCTAGAATGTTCTGCCTACACCTCTTCCTATGGCTGATAATCAGTCCCTCATCCTTTGAGCCTTCATTTAAATTGTTCCTTGACTGATCTTTAAGATGAGACAAAGTCAGCTTGCTATGTTCTTTCTTGTACAGGACACCATACTTCCTCTTTCATAATTCTCTTCATTCTTGTCACTAACTGCCTAACATGTTTTCCTACTACAAGAACCAAGACCATCAGTCCACGCGGCAGAGGCCATGTCTGTTTGTTCGCAGCTATATAAATCCCAGAAACAAAGTTTTCTACCTGACATACAGGTACACACAGGGATATTTTTTAAATTTTGTATTTTTAAAAATGAGATTCACAAGAGATCACAAAGAAATGTACAGGGAAGTTCCATGCACTCTCATCTAGTCTCCCACAATGTCAACGCCCTGCATAATTACAATACAGTAGCAAAACTAGAAAACTGGTATTGGTAAAATCCAGAGGTTGAGATTTCACCAATTATGCATGCACTCATATTTATACCTGTGTGTGGCTATATGTAATTTTCCCACATGGGTAGCTTCATGTAACTACCACCAAAATCACGATAAAGAATGGTACCAAAGGGGCCGGGTGCGGTGGCTCAAGCCTGTAATCCCAGCACTTTGGGAGGCTAAGGTGGGTGGATCACAAGGTCAAGAGATCGAGACCATCCTGGTCAACATGGTGAAACCCCGTCTCTACTAAAAATACAAAAAGTTAGCTGGGCATGGTGGTGCGTGCCTGTAATCCCAGCTACTCAGGAGGCTGAGGCAGGAGAATTGCCTGAACCCAGGAGGCGGAGGTTGTGGTGAGCTGAGATCGCGCCATTGCACTCCAGCCTGGGTAACGAGTAAAACTCTGTCTCAAAAAAAAAAAAAAAGAATGGTACCACCATAAGACTCCCTATTCTACCCGTTACAGCCACACCCACCCTTCTTCCCCTACTCCTCACCCCAGCAACCACTAACCTTTCTCCAGATTATATAATTATTTTATTTCAAGAGTCTTCTATAAATGGAAACACCCAGTACGTAATGTTTTGTTACATTATGTAGGCTTTTTTTTCACTCAGCATAATTCTCTGGAGATTCATCCATGTTGTGTCTGACAATAGGTCATTCCTTTTCATTGCTGAGTATATTCCATAGCAGGAATGCATCATAGTTTATTCACCCATTAAAGGATATATGGGGTATTTTCAGTTTCATTGTTATTGAAGCTGCTATGAATATTCATGTACAATGTACAGGCTTTTGTTGTGAACCTAAGTTTTCACTCCTCTGGAATAGATGCCCAGGAGTGCTAATGCTGAGTTCTATTGCAGTTGCATGTTCAGTTTGCCGAAGATACTGTCAAACTATGTTCCAGAATGGCTGCGCCATTTTACATACCCATTGTAGCATATGAGTGATCCAGTTTCTTTGCATTCTTGCTAGCATTTAGTGTTATTTTTTATTTCAGTCATTCTGCTAGGTACATAGAGGTATCACATTGTGTCATTAATGTGCAGTTCCCTAATGGCTAAACATCTTTCCATGTGCTTGCCAACCACACATCCTCTTTAGTGAAATGTCTGTTAATGTTTCTGCCTATTTTCTAATTGGATTATTTGGTTTCTTACTATTGAGTTTTGATACTACTTCATTATTATTTTTTGAAGGAGTGTCACTCTGTCACCCTGGCTGGAATGCAGTGGTGCAATCTTGGCTCACTGCATCCTCTGTCTCCCAGATTCATACAGTTCTCCTGCCTCAGCCTCCCGAGCAGCTGGGATTACAGGCGTGTGCCACCACACTCAGCTACTTTTTTTTTTTTTTTAGACGGAGTTTCACTCTTGTTACTCAGGCTGGAGTACAATGGCGCAATCTCGGCTCACCGCAACCTCCACCTCCTGGGTTCAGGCAATTCTCCTGCCTCAGCCTCCCAAGTAGCTGGGATTATAGGCACACGCCACCATGCCCAGCTAATTTTTTATATTTTTAGTTGAGACGGGGTTTCATCATGTTGACCAGGATGGTCTCGATCTCTTGACCTTATGATCCACCCGCCTCGGCCTCCCAAAGTGCTGGGATTACAGGCTTGAGCCACCGCGCCCGGCCCAATTTTTATAGTTTTAGTAGAGACAGGGTTTTGCTCTGTGCTACTGAAATGAACTTGGCACCCCCCCCTCCAAAAAAAAGGTGGGGTTTTGCCATGTTGGCCAGGCCGGTCTCAAACTCCCGACCTTAGGTGATCCATCCACTTTATCCTCCCAAAGTGTTGGGATTACAGGTGTGAGCCATCACACCCTGCCTATTATTATTATTTTATTTTTGAGACAGGGTCTTGCTCTGTTATCTAGGCTGCAGTAGAGTGCTGCAATCATAGTTCACCACCACCTCGAACTCCTGGCCTCAAGCAATCTTCCTGCCTTAGCCCCCCAAAGTGTTGGGATTACAGGCCTGAGCCACTGCACCAGGCCAAAAGTCATTTATATATTCTAGACACTAGTCCTTTGTTGGATATGTGGTTTACAATTATTTTCCCCCAGTCTGTAATTCGTCTTTTCATCCTTTTTTTCCCCCACAGTGCTGTGATCACGGCTCACTGCAACCTTGAGCTCATGGGCTCAAGCAATCATCCCACCCCAGCCTCCTGACTAGCTGGGACTATCGGTACAACACCACCATGCCCAACTCAATTTTTTAAATTTTTTGTACAGATGAGGTTTCACCAGATATCCAGGCTGGTCTGGAACTCCTGGGCTCAAGTGATCCACCCGCTTGGCCTCTCAAAGTGGTAGGATTATAGCTGTGAGCAACCGTGCCTGCCATTTTCATCCTAAGAGTCTTTTGCAAAATACAAGTTTTAAATTTTGATGAGGTACTTAGCATATTTTGATGACAGACAAACATTTGATTTGATGGACAGATGTATCAGAAAATAATTTCCTGAGCATCCTCCGTCTTCTCTCAACTTCCAAAACTCTACTTCTGTTCTTAAGGGAATAATAAGACAAATCTGCTTAAAGTGTGGGCCTATGACAAAAAAGGGAGTTGAATCAGAATGTAAACCAATAGTATAATTAATCACAGTGTTTAGTTCAGTTCATCTTTTTTTCATAAGGAGCCTTTTTTTTTTTTTTTTTTTTAAACTTTTTGTTTTTTTTTGAGATGGAGTCTTGCTCTGATGCCCAGGCTGAAATGCAATGGTGCCATCTCAGCTCACTGCAACCTCCACCTTCGGAGTTCAAGCAATTCTCATGCCTCAGCCTTCCAAGTAGCTGGGACTACAGGTATGCACCACCACACCCAGCTAATTTTTATGTTGTTAGTAGAGAAGGGGGTTTCACCATGTTGGCCAGGCTGGTCTAAAAGTCCTGACCTTAAGTGATTTGCCCGCCTCAGCCTCCCAAAGAACTGAGATTACAGGCATGTGCCACAATGCCCAGCACGTAAGGAGACTTTCTCATTAAAAGTGATAGTGCACTGGTTCTGCTGCAAATTCCTCATCTCTTCAAGATGGTCAGAGAATTTGCAGTTTGCCAGTCTAGGCCACACTTTGAGTAGCACTGTGCTAGAACAAACCTCTGTCTAACACATTGTCAAATAGAAGGCATAATAGAATAAACATATCAAAATTCATCACTTCTCAAAGTCTACTTCTGCAACTTCAAACACAGTTTTAAAATAATCTCTAGGGGAACCCTCATATACTACTGGTTAGAATGTAAATGTACAACCACTATAGAGAAGAGTATGGAGGTTTCCCAAAAAACTAAAAATAGGTCAGGAGTGATGGCTCACTTTGTAATCCCAACACTTTGGGAGGACAAGGTAGGAGGTCTGCTTGAGGCCAGGAGCCTGGGCAACGTACCGAGATCTCATCTCTACAAGCAAAAAAATTGGCTGGGCGTGGTGGTACATGCCTGTGTTCCCAGCTATTCGGGATGCCGAGATGGGAGAATCACTTGGGCTTGGGTGGCTGAGGCTGCAGTGAGCCATGACTATGCCACTATACTCCAGCCCGGGCATCACAGCAAGCCTTCATCTCGAACACAAAAAAACAAAAAGAAAACAGAACTAAAAATAGAATACCATTTAATCCAGCAAGTCTACTATTGAGCATACATCCAAGTGCAAGGAAATTAATATCAAAAAGACATGTGCACACTCATATTCATTGCAGTACTATTCACAATAGCCAAAATACAGAATCAACTTAAGTGCCGATAAATGGATAAAGAAAATGTGGTATATATTACAACGGAATATTATTCAGCCATAAAAAAGAATGAAATCCTGTCATTTGCAGCAACATGAATAGAACTGGAGGTCATTTTGTTAGGTAAGCCATGCACAGAAAGACATTTTCTCACTCATGTGAGAGCTGAAAAAGTAGATCTCATGAAAACAGAAAGACTGGTGATTACCAGAGGCTGGGAAGGATGGGGGTAGAGAGGATGAAGAGATAAAAGAAATATAAATGTGTTTATTACAATAAATGAATAAAAAAGTTAAAAATGCAGAGTCGTACAATTAAAACTTTTTTTTTTTTTTTTTTTTGAGACAGAGTTTCACTTTTGTTACCCAGGCTGGAGGGCAATGGCGCGATCTCGGCTCACCGCAACCTCCGCCTCCTGGGTTCAGGCAATTCTCCTGCCTCAGCCTCCCGAGCAGCTGGGATTACAGGCACGCGCCGCCATGCCCAGCTAATGTTTTGTATTTTTAGTAGAGACGGGGTTTCACCATGTTGACCAGGATGGTCTTGATCTCTTGACCTCGTGATCCACCCGCCTCGGCCTCCCAAAGTGCTGGGATTACAGGCTTGAGCCACCGTGCCCGGCCTAAAACAATTTTTTTTAATGTTTGAAAAGCATTCTTTCTGAATTTCTTACAAAGATCCTTGGCGTGTTCAATGGACCAAGTGATTCCGTACCTCCCCAAACAGGTCCTTCAAGGCTGAAATAAGCAGCTGTTTGAACTGCGCAGCATTCAGCCCAACTCCACAATCTTGAAATTCTCTAAAAAAAAACATGAAAAAAAAAAGACATCATATTAAATTTCATTCTATTGGGATTCACGCTAGAAAGTAATCTAAAATAGAACTTAGGAAACTAAACTTACAGGCAGACTTTCACGTAGTGGTGCTCGGAAGGGTTTCTGTAGACTACTCTTTCATATGTGGCGGCAGGGGCCGGCATCTTTTCCAGTGCTGATCACACCTACAGTAAGTCAAAAGGGCTAGAAATGACCAGTGCACATGCTATTTTTCCGTTTTGTTGAGAATTTGGCCTAGTTGGGTTTTTTTCTTTTCTTTTTTTTTTGAGACGGAGTTTCGCTCTTGTTACCCAGGCTGGAGTGCAATGGCGCGATCTCGGCTCACCGCAACCTCCGCCTCCTGGGTTCAGGCAATTCTCCTGCCTCAGCCTCCTGAGTAGCTGGGATTACAGGCACGTGCCACCATGCCCAGCTAATTTTTTGTATTTTTAGTAAAGATGAGGTTTCACCATGTTGACCAGGATAGTCTCGATCTCTTGACCTCGTGATCCACCTGCCTCGGCCTCCCAAAGTGCTGGGATTACAGGCTTGAGCCACCGCGCCCAGCTGGCTTTTTTTCTTTTTGAAGCAGGGTCTCACCCTGTCACCTAGGCTGGAGTGCAGTGGTGCAATCACAGTTCACTGCAGCCTCTACCTCAGGATCTCCAGGCTCAGGCAATCCTACAGCCTCAGACACCTGAGTAGCGGGGACTATAGATGCATGCCACCACATCCAGAGAATTTTTCTATTTTTTGTAGAGACAGGGTTTCACTATGTCGCCCAGGCTGGTCTTGAACCCCTGGGCTCAAGAAATCTGCCCACCTCGGCCTCCCAAAGTGCTGGGATTACAAGTGTGAGCTACCATGCCCCACCTTCCTGTTTTTTTTTTTTTTTTTTTTTTAAGATGGAGTCTCGTTCTGTCACCCAGGCTGGAGTGCAGTGGTGCAATCTTGGCTCACTGCAACCTCTGCCTCCCAGGTTCCAGTAAGTCTCCTGGCTCAGCCTCCCGAGTAGCTGGGATTACAGGGATGTGCCACAATACCCAACTAATTTTTTTGTATTTTTAGTCGACAGGATTTCACCATATTGGCCAGGCTGGTCTCAAACTCCTGACCTTGTGATCTGGCCACCTCAGCCTCCCAAAGTGCTGGGATTACAGGCATGAGCCATTGCACCTGGCAGACTGTTTGGTTTTTAAGACTTCTGATCGCAGTAACTTACCTAATTCTGGTCAAACTAAGGTTACCCATATGAATACAAATTTTTATATTCTGTATATGCCAAATCACTGTACTCTTACTTAAAACCTAGTACCATAATTTTGGCTAACAATTTTTCTTACTGAGTACCAAGCTCTGTGCTAATAAACATTTCACATGCCTTAGCTTCTGTCTTCAAAATGCTTCTGAGGTAAGAGATATTATTATTTCCACTTTTGAGAAGAGAACACAGAGGTTTAGTAAGCATAGGTAACATCTGCCCAAGGGTACCCAGAGATTCCAACCACTCCTGAGCCTGCTCAAGACCTCTGTTATGATGCCTCTTAATCCAAAGGAAAAGAAAAGGCTTAAAGGAGTAAAATCTAAGACTTGAAGGTCCTCTTCTCGTTTACTCTCCGTCAACACAGAACACAAACAGAAGAATGAGGGGTGGCCGGTCTGCCATCTCCTCCCATCTTGGGTCTGCCTGCTTTCAGTCCAAAAGCCAGGTCTGTGCACAACCATCCATGAAAGAGAGAGCATAAACAGCACATGGCTTGAGAAGAGGAATTTCTGGAATGGGCACTCAATACAGCTTCTAAAAGGTCTGAACTTTCAAGAAGGTACAACATGCTGATCTCTCTGTAGACTGTTCCTCTCCTTGGCTCCACAGCAACCTTGCTCTCCCCATGGATGGGTCCTACTCATCTTTCAACTTTCAGTTTAAATGTCACCTCTTCATGGAGGTTTTTCCTGACACTCTGCTCTAAATTAAGTCCCCATGCTATGCAATCTCTTAACATTGTCTATTTGTTTAATATATGGATCACCCACTACAGGGACCAGGAAACTGAGGCCCAGTCAAGGAAAGGGACCGATCCAAGGTCAGAGAGCTACGGACCAGCATTTCCAAAACCATTCTGGGTTAGACCGAGTTCTAAGCACTCCCAGATGATGACCTCTGGAGAAAAGAAGTCAGGATCAAGGAGCTACATCGACCAATCCATTCAACAAACATGAATACTTTGGGGCCTGGAGTGGTGCTCATGCCTACAATCCCAACAGTTTAGGGAGCCAGGTTTTAATTAGCCAGGCATGGTAGTGTGTGCCTGTAGTCCTAGCTACTCCAGGGGCTGAGGTGGGAAGACAGCTTGAGTCTGAAAGGCTAAGGCCATAGTGCACTGTGATTGTACCATTGCACTCCAGCCTGGGTGACAGAGCATGACCCCGTCCCCAAAACCAACCAACCAACCAACCCAAACCACTATCATACTACGACAAAAAGTAGGTATTCAAATGAGGGAAAAGCGATAGTGGTAGGCCTATTATATTCAAAAGAATCCTTGGTTTCAGGACAGCAGTAATAGTTATCTGATGCTTCTTTCCCAATCAATAGTGTGTCCCCTGAGTAGGGCAGGGAGAACAGAACCTCATCTGTTTCTTTCATTGCTTGGCACCTAAGTGTTTTTTAGTGTTACTAACTGCCTTGATGGAGCTGGCTGCCTAAAGTAGGGGAGTGAAATCAGGTCAGGGGCTTAGATGCCAGTAAAATGAAGACTTATGGAGCATTCATGAGATGGATAGTGGTGATGGCTGCACAGCGTTGTGAATTTACTTAATGCCACTTACAATAAATTTTGTTACATATTTTTTGCAATTAAAATGACAGCGTTGTCCTCTAGAGGCTGTTCTGAGATTAAAGGAGAGGATGCCTGTGAAACTCTTTTGTACAGACTGGTATCAAATATATTCACCAGGCTCTCCATAGATGTGGGCTCACGAAGGCAGTGTCATCGTCATCTTTTTTTTTTTTTGAGACGGAGTTTTGCTCTTGTTACCCAGGCTGGAGTGCAATGGCGCGATCTCGGCTCAACGCAACCTCCGCCTCCTGGGTTCAGGCGATTCTCCTGCCTCAGCCTCCCGAGTAGCTGGGATTACAGGCACGCGCCACCATGGGCCCAGCTAATTTTTTGTATTTTTAGTAGAGACGGGGTTTCACCATGTTGACCAGGATGGTCTCGATCTCTTGACCTCGTGATCCACCTGCCTCGGCCTCCCAAAGTGCTGGGATTACAGGCTTGAGCCACCGTGCCTGGTTGTCATCGTCATCTTCAAAGTAGTTTTCTTTGTTTGTTTTAAGACGGAGTCTCACTCTTGTCTCCCAGGCTGGAGTGCAATGGTGCAATCACGGCTCACTGCAACCTCTGCCTCCCAGGTTCAAACGATTCTCCTACCTCAGCCTCCCGAGTAGCTGGGATTACAGGTGTGTGCCACTATACCCCGCTAATTTTTGTATTTTCAGTAGAGACGAGGTTTCGCCATGTTGGCCATGTTGGTTTTAACTCCTGACCTCGTGATCCACCTGCCTTGGCCTCCCAAAGTGCTGGGATAAAGTCAGGCTTTTTATTCATTTGTTTTGAGGTGGAGTCTCACTCTGTAGCCCAGGCTGGAGTACAGTGACGCCATCTCGGGTCACTGCAACCTCTGCTCTTGAGGTGAAGCAATTCTCATGCCTCAGCCTCCCGAGTAACTGGAACTACAGGCGTTAAGTCACTATGTCCAGGTAACTTTTGTAATGGGGTTTCACCATGTTGGCTCAGGCTGGTCTTGAACTCCTGGCTTCAAGTGATCTGCCGGCCCCGACCTTCTGAAGTGCTGGGATTACAGGCGTGAGCCACTGTACCCGGCCTAAAGTCAGTCTTTTATAGAAGCTGCAGGGATGCTCCTAAACTGATACCCCCTACTCTCCATCTTTAGGCAGCCAATGAATCTATTAACATCTACTCAAGCTACTTCATTCCACTGCTCAAAACCTCGCTAAGGTTCCCGTTTTATCCAGAGTTAAGGCCAAAGTCCTTAGAGCAGCCTGCAAGGCGCTGCCTGACCCACAGGGCTGCTCCCTCCACAGCTCTGGCCTCACACCCTGCCTAGTCTCCCTCCACTCAGTGCCCAGCACCACACAGGCCTGGCCTAGCCCTTTCTCACGCGCCAGTCTCGCTCCCGCCCCTGGGCCTCGGCTCTAGCTTTTCCCCACGCTGGGAATGCTCCTCCTCCGGGGAGCCACCCGGCTCACACCGTTGCCTCCTTCCTGGCCTAGCTCCAATCTCACTCGCTTTGGCCCAGTGCCCTTCTCGGCTAACAGCGCACCCCAGCCCCATGCCCCGTCCGCTTCTTCTTCATAGCCTTTTTCTACGTCAATTACCTAACGCCTTTATCCGTACTTCCCTCCCCCACCCCAACAGAAAGTCGACTTCCAGGATCTTGCTGTCTAGTTCACTGCTGTTGGCCCTGAAACACGGGCCGGGCACAGTGGGCGTGCAACGCACGGGTTTTGGACTCAATCCATCACTTTAAAACGCTCAATCTCCCTACCGTTGAGCACTTGGGCGGCTTTCCATTTTTTTCAACCTCCGCTACTCAGCGCTCACCACGCGCCGGGCGCACGAAGAGGGCACAGGACACGCTTTCGAGGTCCCGCCCGGGCCTAGCAGCCACGCTCTGCGGCCGAGACCCTACGCGGCGCCGCCCGGAGGCCTTCGACACCCGGGGCCGAGGCCGACCGGCAGCCAAGTCCGCGGCGCCCGCCCCGCGCATGCGCCGCCGGCGGGGCCGACAGAGACGGCTCCCGCGCCTCAGCCGCCCTCCGGAGGGCTCCTACCTACCCAGTCTCCGTCGGACTAGCCTGACGCCTGCCCAGTCCCCTGTTCCCCGTAAGCACCCGCCAACGCTTGGCGCTCACCGGCAGCGGAAAGAGTTAGGCCCGGGAAACTCACGGTGTCTTTACGTTTGGCTCTCCTCGCCCCGCCCCGCCGTGCGTGACGCCCCGGCGGATATGACGACACCGCGCGGCGTCTTCCTAAGGACTCAGGCGCGCATCCTGATCCGGAGCTGGGAGGGGCCGAGCTCGGCGCCCTCTGGTGTCCACTCCGGGAAGGCGGCGCATGCCGTTTGCTTAGAGTGCTGTTTAGGGCGTGTTTATTCTGCCCTGGACGGTGCTTCACAGTCATCCGTTTCTTCATGCATGCATTCATTCACTGAACAATTGCTTTGTTGGCTTTTTGGGACAGTTTCACTCTGTCGCCCAAGCTGCAGTGCGCTGGAGCGGAGTAGCTGGGACTGCAGATATGGGCCACCATGCCTGGTTAAGTTTTGTGTTTTTAGTAGAGACGGGATTTCACCATGTTGGCTAGGCTGGTCTTGAACTCCTGGCCTCAAGTGATCTGCCCGCCTCGCCCGCCCAAAGTGTTGGGATTACAGACGCGAGCAACTGCGCCCGACTCATTCTACAAATTTATTTTTAAAATTATATTATAATGTATTTATTGATCTTGTATTGGCTCTGTCGCCCAGGCTGTAGAATAGTGGTGTGATCTTGGCTCGCTGCAACCTCTGCTTCCCAGGTTCAAGTGATTCTCCTGCCTCAGCCTCCCGAGTAGTTGGGATTACGGCGTCAGCCTCCACCCCAGCTAATTTTTGTGGTTTTGTTTTGTTTTGTTTTGTTTTGTTTTGTTTTGTTTTTTGAGACGGAGTTTCACTCGTTACCCAGGCTGGAGTGCAATGGCGCGATCTCGGCTCACCACAACCTCCGCCTCCTGGGTTCAGGCAATTCTCCTGCCTCAGCCTCCTGAGTAGCTGGGATTACAGGCACGCGCCACCATGCCCAGCTAATTTTTTTGTATTTTTAGTAGAGACGGGGTTTCACCATGTTGACCAGGATGGTCTCGATCTCTTGACCTCGTGATCCACCTGCCTCGGCCTCCGAAAGTGCTGGGATTACAGGCTTGAGCCATCGCGACCGGCCTAATTTTTGTATTTTTAGGAGAGATGGGGTTTTGCCATGTTGTCCAAGCTGATCTTGAATTCCTGACCTCAGGCAATCCACCCACCTCAGCCTCCCAAAGTGCTGGGATTACAGGCTTGAGCCACTGTGCCCAACCTCCAAATTTATATCTAGCATCTCCTCTTCTCAATATCTCCTATGTCAAGCACTCCCCAAAGACAGGACCCGCTCTCATTGTCCCTTGTGACTCCCAGCACATAGTAGGTGTCCTATCTAGGTCGACCTGAAAAGACCCACAAAGTAAAGACTTACTTTGTGACAGGCACTGAGCAAAGCATTTTACACATATTATCTCATGTAACCCTCACACAATCCTGAGATGGCTATTACTATGATCATTGCCATTTTAGAGGTGTAAACTGAGGCACAGGCTAGGCGCTGTGACTCATGCCTATAATTCCAGCCCTTTGGGAGGCCAAGGTGGGCAAATAACTTGAGGCCAGGAGTTTGAGACCAGCCTGGCCAACATGGTGAAACCTGGTCTCTATTAAAAATACAAAAATTAGCTGGGTGTGGTGGCGCACACCTGTAGTTCCAGCTACTTGGGAGGCTGAAGCAGGAGAATCGCTTGAACCCGGGAGGCAGAGGTTGCAGTGAGCCGAGATCACACCACTGCACTCCAGCCTGGGCGACAGAATGAGACTGCCTAAAACAAAAAAGAAACCAAAGCGGCCCAGCGCAGTGGCTCATGCCTGTAATCCCAGCACTTTGGGAGGGTGAGGCGGGTGGATCACAAAGTCATGAGATCGAGACCATCCTGGTCAACATGGTGAAACCCCATCTCTACTAAAAATACAAAAAATTAGCTGGGCATGGTGGTGTGTGCCTATAATCCCAGCTACCCAGGAGGCTGAGGCAGAAGAATTGTCTGAACCCAGGAGGTGGAGGTTGCTGTGAGCTGAGATCGCACCATTGCATTCCAGCCTGGGTAACAAGAGCGAAACTCCGTCTCAAAAAAAAAAAAAGAAGAAGAAACCAAAGCACAGAGAGGCAAAGTTATTTGCTTAAGATCACAGTTATAAGCGGTGGCATAGGCTGTCCGATTCTAGCCAGTGCTCTCCACACTGCACTGTATTATCACCAATTTAGGAGGTGCAGTGGGAAGGGAATCTTTAGTGTAAGCCCCACGAGGATGTGGCCTTGTCTGTGTTGCTCACCACTGCATCCCAGTTCCTGGCACCCAGTGGTGACCCAACATCTGTTTACTGAACACATTCCTTCTGGTTGTGTGCTGGTTCTGCCTGGGTTGGGGGGGGGGGGAGGGCAAAGGGTTGCTTTGCACAGGACAGTTGAGTCAGCAGAAATCTCCTTCCTCAATTCTTTTCTCAAAATCCCACTGTGTTGTGTCCAGAAGCTTCAGTCCTTGGCCATGGCTATGCTCTCCAGTTCTGCGGTTCCTATTTCCCTTTTTTCTTCCCTCAGAGGAGACAGGGCTTGTTCCAAATGTGGGAAGAGGTGGAGAAAGCAAACACAGAACCCACAGACCCTGGCGTTTTCTTTCCCAAAGCAGCTTGATTTCAGAAGCTGCCAAAACTTGCTCCAAAGGCATCCTCTGCCTCTTACCCAGCTCCCTCATCTGTCACATGGAGTGACTATTAGCATCCGCCTCATAGAGTTGAGGAGAAAAGAGTCGATGGTATAAAGTGTCTGGCATCCCAGGAAACCCTCAGTAATGGGAGAGGGTTCCTGTAAGCCAGCCGTCTGGGAAACGTATCCTGCCAGGCGGCCCAGGAAATCCAGAGCTGCTCCTGCATTTTGAACTTCAAGGAACAACAGATAATTTTCACCCTGCTGCAACAAACCCTGAAAATGAAGTGCCTTCCCAGTTGCCTGAATGCTCTCATGCTGTCTTATTAATTTGGAGTGGAGTATAAAAGAGATGCCTTTGGACGATAAAGACAAAAAACTTTTGCTTTTCGGTCAGGTGTGGTGGCTCAGACCTGTAATCCCAGCACTTTAGGAGGCCGAGGCAGGCAGAACACCTGAGATCAGGAGTTCAAGACCAGCCTGGCCAACATGGTGAAATCCCATCTCTACTAAAAATACAAAAATTAGCTGGGTGTGGTGGTGCACACCTGTAATCCCAGGTACTTGGGAGGCTGAGGCAGGAGAATTGCTTGAGCCCAGGAGGCAGAGGTTGCAGTGAGCCGAGATCAAGCCACTGCACTCCAACCTAGATGACAGAGTAAGACTCTGTCTCAAAAAAAAAAAAAAAATTTGTTTTTCAACTAAATTTTATTAAAAACATTGTTTTTGAACAGTGTCTCACTGTCACCCAGACAGTAGTACAATGATGTGATCTCAGCTCACTGTAGCCTCAACCTCCCAGGTTCAACCGATCCTTCTGCCTCAGCCTCCCAAGTAGCTGGGACTATAGGCACATGCAATCATGCCTAGCTAATTTTTAATTTTTTTATTGAAACAGGGTCTTGCCATGTTACTCAGGCTGGTCTTGAATTCCTAGGCTCAAGACAGTCTTCCAGGTTGGCCTCCCAAAATGCTGGGATTACAGGTGTAAGCCACCTCACCGTACCTAAATTTTATTTTTTGAATAGGTACTGTAGGCTTACAGCATATATTTCAAATGACATAAAGGGATAAATATTAAAAAGTGAGTCTCTCTTTCACCTCTTCCCTTGTCAGCCCCTCCCCTCTCCAGGAGCAACCACTGGTATGAGTTTCTTTTTTTTTTTTTTTTTTTCTGAGACGGAGTTTCGCTCTTGTTACCCAGGCTGGAGTGCAATGGCGTGATCACGGCTCACCGCAACCTCCGCCTCCCAGGCTCAGGCAATTCTCCTGCCTCAGCCTCCTGAGTAGCTGGGATTACAGGCACGCGTCACCACGCCCAGCTAGTTTTTTGTATTTTTAGTAGAGACGGGGTTTCACCATGTGGACCAGGATGGTCTTGATCTCTCAACCTTGTGATCCACCCGCCTCGGCCTCCCAAAGTGCTGGGATTACAGGCTTGAGCCACCGCGCCCGGCCCTGGTATGAGTTTCTTAAGTGTCCCCTGAGAAATATGATATGAGGGCTTTTCCCTCTTGATGCTATATCTACACATTGCTCTAAATCAAAACACACAAGGCTGCCTCAGTCTTTTTTACTTTTTTTAGAGACAGGGTCTCAGTCTGTGGTCCAGGTTGAAGTATAGTGGTGCAAACATAGGTCATTGCTGCCCTGAACTCCTGGGCTCAAGTGATCCTTCTGCCTCAGCCTCCAGAGGAGCTGAGACTATAGGCATGTGTCACCATAACCAGCTAATTTTTTTTTTCCTTTTCTTTTTTGAGACAGAGTCTTGCTCTATCACCAGGCTGCATTGCAGTGACGTGATCCTGGCTCACTGCAACGTCCATTTTCCGGTTTCAAGCAATTCTCCTGCCTCAGCCTCCCAAGTAGCTGGGACTACAGGCATGCACCACCACGCCTGGCTCATTTTTTGTACATTTAGTAGAGACGGGGTTTCACCATGTTGGCCATATGGTCTTGATCTCTTGACCTCGTGATCCACCCGCCTTGGCCTCCCAAAGTGCTGGGATTACTGGCATAAGCCACCACACCCAGCCCCCAGCTATTTTTTTTTAATTTTTATTTTTAGAGAGGAGATCTTGCTACGTTGCCCAGGCTAGCTGCTCAGCCTTTATGAAAGTTACCCTGTACTGCATTGGGTGGAGCCAGTTGGCTCTTAAGAGGACCATTTCAGGCACCCTCTGTGTTTCAGAGCAAAGTTGTTGTGGCAGGTCTGTATTTTATGTTCCTGAAAGGTATGCAACAAGAAGGAGTTAGGTCCACACTTCTCCTCTGCTGTATGGCTCCCCTCCCTGCCTTGCTTACTGGTGCCAAATGGATTTTGCCAAAGCCCTCCCAACTTGGGGAAGAAAAGGCAAGAGAGAGGG